CTGAGGAAATTGATCTTCCCTGGCTTATACTATTTTTGATTCCTTACCTCCTAAAAATTCTGCTTTCTGATCCTTTTTGAAAGCTTGCCTACAAAAATAACATGCATAGAGGTTTTTCTATGCACTGTTCTGAAAGTCATGTAATCTATTTATTCCTCTAGACATATCCGAATTGCATTCTTGGATCAGCCCAGATTAGTCCTCTGCTGATTTATCCTACTCCTAAATTCTCTCATAAAATTGCTTTTTGCATCATGCCATTTGCTTACACTAAGGAGTATAAGAAAAATCATAAAAAGCTCATTATTATGGCTGCTGCAAGAATGCTATCCAAATCCTGTCCCTCTTTATGTACATCAGGTCTCAGCAACATGAAAAACAATGTTTTTATCCAATGGACACTGATCCCTGTAACTGACCCTATCAATTATCCCCTTTTGCTTTGGCCACAAGGAAGTTCAGAGCAATATTTGCAGCCCTTTTCTAACTAATGAATGGACTATGTAATTTACAACTCCAGAAGGAAATGTTATCTCAATTTATTATTCTTCTATTTCTATTTTTCTTTCATCTGATTCCCTTATTTGTCCTCTAGAACTTTTTTTTTTTTTTGTAAACTGCCTCAAACCCTCTGTGGGGAATAAGATGGGGTATGAATAAATACAAAATCCAGAATTCACAATTAACCAGATTGGGGGGGATATTAAAATTTTACTACATTTTTACTTTACTGTTAAGAAAATAAGGCAAAGGAACAAAAAACGTTTGCAAAAAAGTTGTTTTTTTTTAAGTCCAGGATACCTACAGAATTAATATACTTTCAAGCCAATCTCCTACAACTTTGACATCTGTCTATACCACTATACAATAACAGCTGAAACTCAAAAGACCCAATGCTCTAAAAAAGCCTATTAAATATTAAAATACTTTCAAGTCTTTTCTCCAAAACATAGAAGTAGGCTAAGACATCATTTTAGATATTCTTTAATCACCATCATCACCACAATATTTTCTAGTTAAACCCTTGGAAAACCCACTTCCACTACCCAGGTAATCCAAGTAGCTGTGGACATTCTCTTAAGATTGTATTCTGGACTTCTGGTCAAGATGGCGGAATAGATGGTCCCCAGCGTCACTTTCTCCCACAAATCAACCAATTTACAACTATAAATACGCAACAACAGCCAAGGTGAGGTCACTAGAGCTCAGGGGAAGAGGAGGGGAGACCTACGGAGTGCATGAAGCCAGGAGAAGCCATGATGAGAGAAAGAAAAAACTGCTTGGACTGTTTTGAGCCCCAGCCACATTCAGGTTAGAGCTGGTGAGCACACAGAGCAGGAGCTGGCAAAAAGCCACAGCTGTGCCCTTCGGGTGAAGTTGCTTGGAGGTGGCAGGGGAAAAGAGGGCCTTGGTGGCTCACAGACCAGCAATACCACTAATAGGGTTCCTGTGGAGCCACAACAACTGAAAAAAAGGAGCTACTCAGAGGCCAATGAGTCATCGCAAGGGACCAGAGCACAGCCTGACCCATGGGAAGTGTTTGGAGCATGGGTGGTGGGGGAGACAGGCCCATTGAGGGAACACTGGGGCATAGCAAAGACAGCTGATCTTCCCCTCAATCAGAGTAGGACCACTCAGAGGAGACTACTGAGGAATATAGAATTGCATGGGGTGTGGTTTGATGAAAAGACTCAGGCCCAGACCAGAGTTTCTACACAACCCAGGTGCACCAGATTTCACTAGAACTGGAAGTACCTATGAAGTCAATCATTAAAACCTGAGCTGCACAAAAAGCCTTCCCTAGGGAATTAGCAGCAAAGCAGCAATTTAGCTCAACCACACAGCTCAAGTACTGGTCCTCACAGGAAGTCCCCTCATTTTAGAAGTAAGCAAAGGACAGCAAATTAGTTCCAGTGTAGAGTTTGAGTGGTGGGAACAGCAAATAATCCAATACATAACTGAAAGAAAAAACAAAGTACCCACAACCAGAGACAAAGTTTGATATTAACTAGTAAAGGTCTCATTTCACCAAAGAATATCTATAACACCTAGAAGAACTGGAAATCCCCTGGGCTACCAAACCAGAAAGGGGGAAGGGCCAGGGGCCTCAGCAATGCCACACGACAAGTGCAACCACCCCGCATGACAAGTGCAACCACCCCAGCGACAATCACTGAGCTGCTGCAGGAAGCACCCCAGGCTCTCCTGAGCTGGGGTAGTGGGGGGCCTTGGTCACAACCCCCCAACACGAGCAACCAGCCCAGCAACAATCACCAAACCATAGCAAGAAGAGCCCCAGGTTCCCGAGCTGGAGAGGTGGGAGGCGAGGGCTTTTGTCACACCCCTCTGACATCTACACCCAGCCCAGCAATGACCAAGCCACCACTGGAAGCCACTCAGTCTCCCCTGTGGGAATGTGGGGGGTGCCATAGGCCTCGATCCAGCCCCTCCTCCTTCCATCACATTTCCTTCCCCTTGCCCCTCTTCCCTACCCTCCCTATTGCTCTGCAACAACATCATAGAATATTAAAAAAATATATTAATAAAATTTTTAAAAATTGTTTTTTAATGATTGAATTCTGGGCCTCTCTCTAAACTCAGTAGGCGTTTCTACACTCATAATTTCAACCACTTTTTTCTATGTGAATGTTCCAAAATCTCCATGTTATAACCTCAATTAAAATGTTCAAAATGGGGGGCCGGCCCGGTGGCACACTGCTACAGTGCGCCGCTTGGGAGTGCGGCGGCACTCCCGCCGAGGGTTCGGATCCCACATATAGACCGGTTCCCACTCACTGGCTGAGCGAGGTGCGGGCGCAACACCGAGGGTTGCGATCCTGTTGCCGGTCCCAGTCTGGTACGGGCACGACACTGAGGGTTGCAATCCGTTGCCGGACATGAAAAAAGACAAAAAAGGAAAAAAAAAAATGTTCAAAATGGAGCTTCATTATCTTTTGCTTCTTCCTCATCCCCCATAAGCAATCCCTTCCAAAGACCTCATTTCTGACGACAGCCTCATTCTGTCCAATTCCAAGGCTTCAGTCATTTTTGCCCCTTCCTTAATCTCTGGTATTCCATCCTAACAGGCTTGATCCCTTCTTCCTTTGAAATATGTTTCTGTTTGGTATTTTCTTTTTCACTGGCACTTTTCCTACTTCAGACTCTAAGGATAAGTTGAGCATTCTGCATTGTCTCTCTCCATTCAGACTTTTGGTTTCACCTTATGTTCCACTGTCTCAAAATTGTTTTTTATCAATTAACTTCCCTCAAACCTGCAGCAGCAGCTTCCTGTAACCTACTACATCAAAACTGACATCCCTCAATCTGAACTTTCCGGGCAATCTAGGATCTGTCACCACACTTTCACATGTCTCATACCTATTCCTGAATCACCATCTACTACACCTGGCTAAGCAGGTTAATGCACCTACCCTGCTAAGTCACATTCTTTGCTTATTATGTCACTCCTCCCTACACCTGGAATGCCCTCCCTGCCTTAGCCAAACCTTATTAACTCTTTAGGACATGGCTCATGTTTCATCTCAATAATGAAGCCCTATGTTTATTATATCCCATATGGACCTTGCTCTTATCTGATTTTCTTCTGTATACATAATCAGTACCAAACTTCCCAGAAATTACTTGTTCTCTAATTGTTTTATATGTATGCTTTCCAAGGTGGTCTCATCCACTCCCATGGTTTTAATTACAAGCTGTAAGCTGACTCCCAAATGTAAATCTCCATACTTGTCCTCTTCACTAAACTTCAGACTCATTTATACAGCTGCCTGGCTGACAAGTGCCCCCTGGATGTCTATGGGCATCTCAGATTTAACATGTCCAAACAGAACTCTTTTGATTTTTACCGATGAAACACACTTATCCTCTCCAGTTTTGCTCATTTCAGCCCCATTATCTATCCAGTTCCTCAGGCCAAAAATCTATAGGTGATTCTTGATTCCTCTTTCTCCTCATATCCCACTTCAATCCACTAGGAAAATTTGTTGTGTTCATCACAAAATATAGCCCAAATCAAACCACTTCTCTTCATTATCACCTTAGTTCAAGTCACAATCATCACCTCTATCTGAACTTCTCTAAAAGTCTCCTAATTGATCCCTCTGCTTTCACTCTTTCTCCCTTCTGGCCCATTCTTCACAGAGTAGCCAGAATGATCTACTCAAAGCCAAAATTAGATCATATACTTCTACAGCTTAAAAATCCTCAATGGCTTCCTCTTGCATTAGATTCAATAGACTAACAGACTCCAAACTCGTCATGACCTAAAAGGCTCCTTATAACTTGTCCCATTCCTACCTTTCTGAGCTCACCTTCTGTCACTCTGTTAACTGTCCATAATGCTTCAGCATCACTGGTTTTCTTTCCATCTCTTGATATGTATCAAGATATATTCTCATTAATATTCTCCACTGGCTATTACCTCTGCCCTGCTCTTCATGCACAGCATTCTTCATATAACTGCCTCCTCTCTCATCTTTTAGGTCTCTGCTCAAATGTTACCCTTTCAGAGAGTCCCTTGACCACTACAGATAAAATCATTATCTATCCCATGGCCCAGTTTTACTTTCTTTATATATAATATATTGATAAGTGCTAACCCCTCCCACTAGAATGTAAGCTTCTTCAGTTCTTTGAGGGCAAGTACTGAATAAATTTTTTAAAATTTCCCATTGTAGTTTGCCTACTACAATCTGGGCATGTAAGAATGCCAATAAATACACCTAGTGATCAATTTATAAGAAGGAATATCTGTGATCTAAGAAACTACAAAATTTCTAAAGCCAGATATAAATTCAGAAAACTGAAGAAGTTTGATGACATGATGCTACAATTTAGTATAAGTTCAGAATAACATGATTCTTGACTTGAACAAGTTTTCCTAAACTAATAAGACACTAATTTCTATTGCAACCACCTATACTTCATTAAAATGACAACGTATAAGCAAGTGATTCTAATGAAGCAAACTAAAGTCTTACTTAATGTTATGATGTCCAGTTTTCAGTGTACATCTATCAGGAAGTTGAGCAAGTTTCCTCGAGAGCATTTTAAAATACTTTCTGCACTCCTGCATTCCTGTGCTTTGTTCATAATCAGTAGAAGCAGAAAGTGGCAGTCCATCTCTGACACGAATTACTGAGGCAGACAGAATCATAGACATTTCAACCAACAGAAAAGACCTAAAACAAAATGAACAATTTGGGTTAGATAAAAATGAAAGGCAAACCTAATAAGCACATTCAACTTACTAGTAATTAAAGAATACTAATTAAAATGACGACATACTATGCTTCACTTAAATAAGCTTTTAAAGAAATAATACTTGCTTCTGTCTGGCATTCTCATAAATAGAGGTGGAAGTAAAAACTGGTATAAACACCATTCTAAAGACAATTTGGGAATTTCAACAAGAATTTTAAAACATTTATACACTCTGACCTCAGTAAGTTTAAATATATAACCATATCCTGAGGAAATAATCAGAGATCCAGACAAAATTTTAAACAGAAAGACATCCTTCCAGTCAAATAAGTGAAAACAACCTAAATTCCTACAATAGGGTGGTAGTTAAGTAAATGATAGTACTGTATACTCATATGATAGAATATAATGCAGAATCTAAAAGTTATGTTTGTGAAGAAAAGTTCAATAATGTGTTAAGATGCATATATTGTTAAGCAGAAAAAAGCAAGATAATGGCTGACCAGTTAGCTCAGTTGGTTAGAGCATGGTGCAGTTAACACTACCAATGTCTGTAGTTCAATCCCTGTTTTAGCCAGCAAAAAAAAAAAAAATGTACAAAAATTGCAAATGTTGTTTTCCACAAAGAAAAAGAGAAGGAAAAAGAAAGGAAGAAATGGAGAAATAGGTATAGGAAAAATGTCAAAATCAGAATAATGCTCACGTCTAGGAAATAGTATTATGAATGACTGTAATTTTATAATTTTCTAAATGTTCACAATATTCCACGATGGGCATATATTGCTTTTTTAGTAAGAAAATCAATTATAATAAATTCTAAAGCTAAAGTAATACTGGTTTTAATGCTGTTCTCAATCTTTTTACCAGAAAGTAAATTATAATGGCCTCTTTACTGGATTCTGGTCATGCTTTACAAAAACAGATAAAAGGACTTTTCTGGCCTTGGTCTGAAAGACATCAGGTAAACGGTCTAACTTTGATAAAATACACAGTATTTCTCAAACTTTAGCTTATATAAAAAGTCGGAAGTTTGTTTAGAAATGCAGATTTCAGGGCCCACCCCCCAAAAATTCTGATCTACAGACTATGGGGTAGAGCTTGAAAATCTTCAATTTTAACAAATTCCCAAGGTGATTACTATGCTTATTATCTAAGGACCATATTTTGAAAAACACTGAATTAAAAACCATGTCCACTGTCTGAGATTAAGTGATAAATCTTCTCTGTCAAGCATTCAGAATGCAATACCACTAAATGCTTCTTCACTAGCTGTAAGGGCAACTGGTAAAAATTCAAAAATTTGATTAAAATGTCATAAGCTTTTTTCAGAGATATTGTATCTCAGAGACTAAATTAATCCTTACCTGCCCACTTCAGCTAGGTCAACATTATCCCATTCCAAAAATGAAAAACTGAGTAAGTAATATATCAAAAAATGCCACAGAAAACCATTGCTCAGAGTTTGGAAATAGGAGTTGATAGTTTTCACTGCTGTGTGAAACCAAAATCTGACTGCTCATTCATGGTGGCAACTGTTCTGACAATAAAAATGAGCCCAACTAAGAAAGCTAATGCATTAAATTTTCTATATCCCCCTTTCCTCTTTTCATGAGGAAATTGGAGGAATCTCCAAGTATTAACATATCATTACCCTTTAATATTATTCTCCTCCATTTATTTAAAAGGAAAAAAGCAGCAAATTAAATTAGCCCCTTTACTATAGTGGAATCTTCAAACTAAAGTCCCAGTGTGACATATCCAAATCAGCATTTTTTTTTTTTTCCTATTTATCCAGTTTCTCTTCTCTCCTACTAGCAGTAGGAAGAGAAAGCTGGGGTCTCTGAAGGGTGATAACTGTACTATAAATTCCTCTCTAAATTTATTACATTTTATTTAATTATTAAATCACAATTGTAACATTTAGCCTAAGTGTAAGAAAGTAGGAGAACGTCTTAATTCATACCCTTACGCGTTTATTATTTACACATAAAACTGTTATCTTTCCAGAAGTACTCTGCAGCACAATGAACGTTCTGGGAATTAACGTGAGGTTGTGACTTATAGTTTCAAACATCCATATTCTTAGTATTTAAAAATACAGTAGTCCCCCCGTTATCCTCAGGGGATACGTTCCAAGACTCCAGTGGATGCCTAAAACCTCAAATAGTGCCAAACCCTACACAGTTGTCCCTTGGTATCTGCGGGGGACTGGTTCCAGGATCTCCTGTGGATACCAAAATCCAGGGCTGCTCAAATCCCTGATATAAAACGGCACAGTACTTGCATATAACCTATGCACATATTCCCATTACTTCAAATCATCCCTAGGTTCCTTATAACTCCTAATACAATGTAAATGCCATGTAAATAGTTGTTATACTGCATTGTTTAGAGAAAAACGAGAAGAAAAAAACCCTATACATGTTCAGTAGACACAATTTTTTTTCCTGAATATTTTTAATCTGCAGTTGGTTGAATCTAAGGATACAGAACCCATAAATACAGAGGGCTGACTATGTTTTTTCCTACATATACATACCTACAATAAAGTTTACATTATAAATCAGGCACAGTAAGAGATTAACAACAATAGCTCATAATAAAATGGAAAAATTGTAACAGTAAACTGTAATAAAAGTTATGTGAGTGTGGTCTCTCTCAAAATATTTTGCTGTACTATACTCATCTATTTTCACATCATGGTTGACTGTGGGTAACTGACACTTCAGGTGAAACTGTGGATAAGAGGAGACTACTGTAGATAGCATTCTTTTGTGCCTGACCTTTCTAGGATCCTGATAGAAATATTAGGACTAGTCTTTATTAATAGGTTGCCAACTTTCACATAGTCTTCAAAGTTACTCTTTTCTTTTTGATGACTTGGAAGACAGAATGATATGATTCACACTTCCTATAATATGTGCTTAGAAATGATATGATTCATATTTCCTATAACATGTACTTAGAAATGAATACCATTTGTAAGCTCCATTCTTTTAACAAACATTTACTGAGTATCTACTGTATGCCAGGGGTTACTCCAGACATTAGGAATACATAGTTCCTACTATAAAGAAACAACAGCCCCCAATCAGAGAAATTTAAATGAAAAGCACGAACACAACACAGGCTATATTGTCTACCATTTTACTAATTTAAAAACTAAAGTTAGACAAACTTGCGTTTCAGATATTCCTAATACACACTTTATGCCTGTAACAAAAAGCAGAACATAGCAGTTATATTCCCTGTCAAAATTCTTAAAAGGCTGTCAGAGGATAGTTTCTATTTACCAGTAGATAAGATTTTTCTGAGAAAAAGTTAAATCTCTTCCTCCCCCAGTAATTAATTGCACCTAGCATCCAAACCACTTGGATTTAGGAAGCAAAAGAAACTGGGATAAATGTCCAATGAACAATGCAGGCTTAACTAATCTGTAGACAGACTCCAATCACCTTAGGATAAGGAGTCTTTCCTCTATCAACTCAATAAACATACCCACCTTTTTTTTTTCTTCTTACCTTGGATTCTTAATGTAGTTTATTTTTTAAAAAGGAAAGAACTCTAATCTTATATGCACTGTGCTAATAGAAAAAGGAATCTGCCCATATCAAGGTCAAGCTAGGGTTAGAGCACCCGTAAAGTCTAGGCAGATGATATGGATTGAATTGTGTCCCCTAAGTTTTCTCTATTAGAAGTTTAATCCCCACTGACAACATTAAGAGGGTGGGAAATCCTATTATGGTAATGGAAAGGTGGAGCCTTAAAAAGGTGATTAGATTGTGAGGACTCAATTGTGTCCCCTAAGTTTTCTCTATTAGAAGTTTAATCCCCACTGACAACATTAAGAGGGTAGGAAATCCTATTATGGTAATGGAAAGGTGGAGCCTTAAAAAGGTGATTAGATTGTGAGGACTGTGTCCTCCTGAATGGATTAATCCATTGATAGGTTGTCATGGGCATGGTTCTGACAGCACATGAGTTCATGCTCTCTCTCTCTCTCTGCCTCTGCCATTTCGCCATATGACACCCTGCATTGCTGTAGAGTAACCACCAAGAAGACGGTTCCCTGGACTTTGGATTTCCCAGCCTCCGAAACTGTAAGCAATAAATATTGTTTCTTTATAAATTATCCAGTTTGAGGTATTTCTGTTACAAGCAACAGAAACAAACTAACAGCAGGATTGTGGTTGGGAAAACCAAGGAACAACTAGTCAAACTGTGGAAGGCAAGAGTCTACAACTTGCATGAGAAGATTTAGGAACAGTTAGTTTTCATCTTAACAAGGCCATGGATAAATTTTTAAGCCATTGGTCCACTTTTCCTCACCTTTAACAGAAAGAAAATATTATACCTGTCTTCAGACAGCTGCAGAAAACACATAGGGAATCTGAGTAGTGGCCTGCATTTCCTTTCCCCAACAGCAACTGTTGGAGGAAAAAGCCCAAATTAGAATCTAGATAGATCTGGGTAAACTTTTATCTAAAGGCTGAGCAAAATAGACTACTATAGCAGTGGTTAGCAACCTCTTAAGACACAAAATAACAAGACACTGACCCCTCTTGTTCAGAACCTTGTGGAGTAATGACTTTGGGCCCAAGGTATCAGGAAGGCATCTCTCAAAAAGTAATAAACAAAACCCAACATATAAGTAGAATTTATACCTATTTTCTAGCCAAATGCTTTCATAAATGCCTCTTTTAAGAGAAAAACATTTCATAGTGGAATCAATCACTCATATTTTCTTTAGTCCATCATTTTCCAAACTTCATCATCCAAGTACCACTTTCAGAATTCTTACCTTATCTGCACCCCACCTGTACAATCTTTTACCTAATATCGATCTTTCAATTGACTTATGCCTTAGTCTGTTTCTGTTGCTTATAACAAAATACCCGGAACTGGGTACTTTATAAAGAAAACGAAATTTATTGCTTACAGTTTCTGAGGCAGAGGAGTCCAAAGTCCAGAGAACATATCTGGTGAGAACCTTGGTGGTGGCGATAGTGATGGCAGAGTATCACATTGCAAAAATGGTGGAACAGAAGGAGACTAACCTCTTCATTCACTCTCCCTTTAAAGCCCTCTGAACCACGCCCCGGACCACCAATATTAATCCATTCACTATGGCATGGTCCTACAATCTAATCACCTCTTCAAGGCCCCACCCACCTTTCAATTACCATAATAGGATTTCCCACCCTCAACAGTTATAGTGGGAATTAAGTTTTGGGGGGACATTCAACCCAAGGCAACTATGTTTTAGCTATAATATTTGTGAAATCAGTTTTGAAGTGTCAGGTAGTTCTCCTAATTTAAATTAAAAGAAATGACAAATATATTTTTTGTTTTATTCAAGTATGTGTGTGTGAAAACCTTTTGGAGAATTATTTTTTAAATGTTCATCTGCTTATTAAATTATCTTGCATATGTGATGGTACCAAAGTTTGGGAAACACTACCTCGGTACGTATTATTTTATTAAAAGTGATAGCTGAGATCTGTGGGAATTGTGGTGGGGGAATTAGTTTGGGGAGAAAGATACACTAATTGTAATGCACAGGGTGCACCGAATGAAAAGAGAGAAGAATTTTACATAGCCATAGGTTAGCAGGAAGGCACTTGGAAAACAGAGCATGAAGAGGGGAGGGGAAAAGGGTACCAAGGACAACCAGAATTTATACTAGCAGTCTTTGATACTCCTATTATGTGTGCTTGCACTGCACAATATGTATAAGACTTCAGGTATAATCAACAGATTATACCCACATCTAGGAACAGTGCCCCAAACACATGCTTGCATGCGTCAATCCCCAACATTTGCATAATAACACATAGTTTACAGTTAGGTAGGTATAACCTCCATTTTATAGATGAGGAAACTGAGGCTCACTTTCTCAATGTCACACTGCTAGAATATGGCAGAGCTGGTATTTAAACCTAAGTTTCTTGTACCTCTACATCACTGTGCTATATCAGTCTCCCAAAACCAACGAGGTGCATAGAAGCCAGTGATACAAAAACTAAGTACTTATTTTTAAATAATAAAAAATAACAGCTTACATTTTCTTTAAGAGGCAGTGCAGTATGGTAGTTAAGAGGATAGACTCTGGAGCCAAACTACCTGGGTTCAAATACTGGCTCCATCGAGTACCAGCGTTGGGGAAGTTTTGCTATTCTATACCTCAATTTCATCACCTATAAATTGAGGTTACTAATAGTATCTATCTCATAGGGTTGTTTTAAAGATACTATTAGTATCTACCTCATAGGATCACGTAAAGCACCTAAAACATTGCCTTGTAGTATACCAAAAGTACTAGATTGTGTTTGATATTATTATTATTGATTACCCTCTAGGGACTGGGCACTTTACACACATTACCTCATTTAAGCCTCCCATTAACCTGTGAGGTAGGTATTGTTAGTTCCTTTTTACCTCTGAGGAAATTCAAGCCCAGAAAATTTAAGTAATTTGTTCAATCCCTAAACTAGTACATGACAAAGTAGGGATTTAAATTCAGACCTAACTCTAACGACTCTGTGATATACCATCTCTCAAAATATCCAAACTTCTTACTCAAATACATGAAGAGGAAAGTCACAGGCACCCCTTTGATAGGACCTGGGCTTCTTTGATACACCAACATAAAATATACTTAGACTTTAACCACACACACAGCACTAAATGGATGTGAAGGTTCTCAACCATCTGGGATATGCTCAGATGTCCCATTAATTTAGGGCATAGTCACATGTGTCAGATTCAAATACTAAACCTTAATATGCCAGGAACTGTTAGTACCATTTAAGGAACTGCCTAATTCCTCACAATCTTAGCACGTGAGCAAATACCAGTAACATGGAATGTGATTCGGAGTTTTAAAAAGTGGCTGCTTCATCTGTTGACACTTTAGCCCAGGGCTGAGCTTTGCCTTAGCTGGATAGGTATAGGAGGGTCTGGTTCTCACGCTCTCCACCTGCCCCAGGTGGAGGACACAGGAAACTAAGCAGCAGGAGAAATATCTAAAGCTGTTTTCACAGGCAGAGAGATTCAGAGGGTCTGGTTCTCACGCTCTCCACCTGCCCCAGGTGGATGACACAGGAAACTAAGCAGCAGGAGAAATATCTAAAGCTGTTTTCACAGGCAGAGAGATTCAAGCCAGCTCGAGCTCGGCCTTCTCTTTCAGAGACCTCCTCCACTTGAGCCAATTGTTCAGGGCTCCTTTCAAAGTGCCACATCGTCCCCAAAGTGCCAAGGGCCTCAAGACGTTTCTGTGCGCCAACGTGGTCAAATCTTTGGTGTCAATGATCATTTGATCCCCACAAAACGCAACGTAAGTCACTGATTCAAATCCCACCTTGTCTAAAAGAAATAGGAAACGCCACCTCAGGCTCTCTGGGGCCACCTAAACAGCCTAAGTGGATCCATGTTTCTGACATCTGGGCCCGGGAATCCCCTCCCACACACCCACAGCCGCTAGCAGCCCAGGGCGACTCCCCCTTGGACACTCCCATCCCGGCTGCCCCATAGTAGGAGCAAGTCAGCCGAGGGTCAACTGCTGCCCGCGCGGCCGCACAGACCCCTCAAGTCGAAGGGGACGCGGTCCCCACATGCTCGCCACTCCAGAGCTCGGCGGCCCCAACGACACCCGGCTCCCACCCCCACGGCACCGTCTTGGTTCTCGCCCGGGGCTAGGTCTGTAGATTCGAGGGCCGAGGCCGTGGCGGGAGAGCAAAAGGAGCACCCGGCCAGGGGTTCCAGCGGCCCGAGAAGGCAGGAAAGAGGACCCAGAGGTGCCAGCTGTACCTGTCCGGCAGGGACCCGCCGCTCCGAGTGACGCGCCCCGCAGTGCATTGTGGGGCCCGGGAGTGGCCTTTCGTTGGGGCTGCCCCGCGCCCAACGTGGCTCGCGCCCGCGAAATCAAGCTCCGCCCCCGTTCTGGGCTCGCTCAGGCCAATCGGGTTCTGTGGGAAGCACACACTGACCCGCCCCCTCCCGGGGCCCGCCTTAGTCCCACCCCCTCCAGAAGAGATTGGCAGCTTCTCTTGCACTTGGGCCAGGAGACTGCATGGTCCTCGGGGGACAGAATTATACCGTCCTTCAGAAATAAACCTAATCTCCCCCTCCTGCCTCCCAGTATCTGGGGGCATTTTTCTCTCATATGCAGCCGGCCCTACAGCAAACACTTATCCAAGGGGCTGAGGAAAACCCCATTTGGGTGAGCGAGGAAAGGACCTGCCCCCATCTACTACCACACACAGGAAGGAAATTAACCATGGCAGAGAGATGACAGATGCTTGCCCTGCGGCCGCTTCCAGCCTTCGCATGGTTATGCATTATTTAACAGGCATTTACTGAATGTCTACCATGAGACAAGTACCGTTGGGCATTACACTACAGAAGTCAGCATAAAACTCGATGGAATTTAAGGTGTAATAGGAGCAAGAGACATTAAAGCATAAATCGTTACATAATTATAAATTGTGATTAGTACTATGAAGGGAAATTAGTGGGTGCAATGATGGATTAATTTTGAACTGTCAGGGAAGAGCCCTCTGAATAAATGCCTTTTAAGCTCCAGGCATATTGAAGAGCCTTAAAAATGTTCTTGGCCAAAGGAACGTATGTGTAAGGTTGTTGGGGCATGTAAGAACTTGGCGTGTTCTAGAAACTGAAAAGAAGTCAGTGTGGCTGGTGTAGTGAGCAAGGAGAAGCTGGGGCTGAGATGGGGCAGGGGCCAGACCATGCTGGCTCTTATTGGTCACATTACAGATTTCAGACTGTCTTTTGGAAAGTATCCTAAAATCAGTGGGCAGCTAACAAAGACTGTTAAGTTGGATCTGATTTACATATTTAAAAGCTCATTTGGGGTGTTTGTGAGGAATAGATTGGAAGAGGGCAAGAAGGGATGCTGGAAGGTCAGTTTGGGGGCAGTTACATTAGCCAAGGCCAGAAATGATGGTGACATGAACTAGAGTAATGGCAATAGAGACAGAAAGAGGTGGATAATTTCAAAGTATGTATGAATCAGAGGTGGAATCAAGGAACTTAATAATGGATTGGTTTGTCAGGAAGGGTCAAGAAAAGAGGAGTATTAAGGATGACTCAAGTAACTAGATGGATTAAGAAGCCATTTACTGATTGAGAGAACATAGAAGGAGGATCAAATAGTTTGGGATACATTAGATTTGAGAAGCTTATAAGTGCAGATGTCGAGCACATTTGGATATGTAAGTCCAGAGTTCAGAAGAAAATCTGACCTAATTATATAAATTTGGTGGTTGTTGGAGTGAGTTAATCTAGCAATTCCACTCCTAGATATATACTCAACAGAAATGTATTCATATGTTCACAGGATGAATAAATTTGAGAATATTCACATGCAGAATATTATACAGGAAAGCAAATAAACAATCTACAACTACACACAATGCATGGATGAATCTCACAATTGCAAAATTGAGTAAAATAAGTTAAACACAAAAGTGCACACTTGTAGTATTCCACTTATATAATGTTCAAAAACAAAAATAATACATAATGATAAAAATCAGGATATTGGTTACTGTTGGGTAGTATTAATATTTGGAAAGGAGCACGGGGGGCTTCTGAAGTTCTAATAATGCTCTTGATCTGGAATTTGGTTACACGGTGTGTTCAATTAATGAAAATTCATTCAAGCTGTACACTTATGATTCATACAATTTTGCAGTATGTATTTTCTTATTCAATAGAAAGTTTACATTTTAAAAATGCTAAGGATGATTCAGACATTAATAAGTCACTAGTACCAGACTAAGCGTCCTACCACAAGCAATAAAAAACTGCACCAAATCTATGAAACAACTGTTTTCAGGCATTGGACAATAGGCATAGTAAGATTGCGATCACGGAAAGAAGGAAAGCAAACAAGATAAGCCCAAAAATTTCCTCAGGTTTCTTCCTGGAGGTATTTACCTAATCATAGGATGGAAGGAAGCCAAGCAGAGTACAGTACTCTTGTTAACTGAGGAGACAGAAATTGGAATTAAGAGAGATTGAAGCAACTGATATTTGCAGGACATATTACCCAAGAAAGAGTCCCAGAAATATACACATAAGGTTTCCTTAAATCTTTGGTGTAAGTTTGAGGGTAGACTCTGTGAGGTTGGTAAATAATAAAAACTGAACAGCTACTGGAGCTTGAATAGAGTTTGGAAACATTTGAGTTCTAATTGAAATGTGGTAATCTTATTAAAAACCTGGGGCATTTGGTAGAAAGTCCACAGAAAGGCCACACTTTAAAATAAGGCTAAATTAGCCCAATAGAAAAGACTATTCTAGATCCAATCAAACAAAGATGAAAAAGTGATCTGTAAGTAAATTAATTGCTTGCTTGTATGAAACTTAACAGTCTTTAAAGAAAGACAACAAAATCCAGGCACTTGATCATGTAACACTGACGTTGTTTAGTATCCAATCAAATAATACCATACATGTGAAGGAGCAGAAAAATTGTGCACCATAAACAGGGAAAAAATCAGGCAAGAGAAACAGACCCAGAAAAGACAAAGATGATGAAATTAGATGTTAATCAGATAAGTACTTTAAAGCAGCTATTGTAAATATGGCCAAGAATTTAAAGGGACATAAATATAAAGTGACAAATAGAAACCATAAAAAGAACCAAATCAAACTTATAGAGCATAAAAATACAATATCTACAATGAAAATTTTGCTATATAGGCTTAACAGCAGATTAGATACCACCAATGAAAATGTTAGTAAATGAAGAAACAGTGCAAAAGAATTATCTATATTAAAGCACAGAGAAAAAAAGTTGGAAAAAAAAAAAAGAACAATGCCTTTGTGACCTGTGGGTCAATACAAAACTATCTAACATACGTGGAATCAGAGCCCTGGAAAGACAGGAGAGGAGATAAAAAATATTTGAAGTGATGATGGCCAAAATTTTTCTAAATTTGATGAAAAGTATAAACCCACAGATCCAAAAAAGTAAACTAACACCAAACAGGCTAAACACGAAGAAAGCCACACCAAGTCACATTACACTCAAATTGCTGAAAAAGAAAGTATTAGAAACAACCAGAGAAAAGTCAGAAGCCACATTGCATATAGAGAGCAAAGATAAGAAGTACTATTGACTTCACACTTTCCAACAAAAAGAATGCAAGCCAAAATATAATGAAATGAAATCTTAAAGTCCAGAAAGAAAAAAAATCTATAAACCTCAGATTCAATACCCAGCAAAAATTCTTTCAAAAACATGAAAGTGAAATAATGACACTTTTGGGCCGGCCCCGTGGCGCACTCGGGAGAGTGCAGCACTGGGAGCACTGCAACGCTCCCACCGCGGGTTCGGATCCTATATAGGAATGGCCGGTGCGCTCACTGGCTGAGCACGGTGCAGGTGACACCACACCAAGGGTTGCAATCCCCTTACCGGTCACGAAAAAGACAAAAAAAAAAAAGAAATAATGACACTTTCAGGCAAACATAAAATGAGAAAATTTGTTGCTAGCATACCTGAATTATAATAAATGCTAAAGAAAGTTCTCTGGATTAAATTAAAATGATGTCAGATGCAAACTCAAATTCACACAAAGGAAAAGAAAGTATTAAAAATGGTGAATATGGGCCGGCCCGGTGGCGCACTGGATAGTGCGCCGCTTGGGAAGCGCGGCGGCACTCCCGCCCGAGGGTTCGGATCCCACATACGGACCGGTTCCCGCTCACTGGCTGAGCGAGGCGCGGGAGCAACGCCGAGGGTTGCGATCCCGTTGCCGGTCCCCGGTCCGGTACGGGAGCAACACTGAGGGTTGCGATCCGTTGCCGGACACGGAAAAAGACAAAAGACAAAAAAAAAAAAAAAATGGTGAATATGTGAATCAATATAAAGATTTTTTCTTTTTAAATTTTCTCTAATACAATTAACAAATGGTGAACATGTGAATCAATATAAAGATTTTTTCTTTCTAAATTTTCTCTAATACAATTAACAATTCAATGAAAAAATATTTTTCATAAGTGCTTTGAGAATTTTATAACAAGTGAAGAAGTAGAACATACGTTAATTATATCATAAAGAAAAAGGGAATGGATATACACTGTTACAAGGTTTTTATACCATAAATAAAGTGGTATAATATTATTTAAATGTAGGATATGATAAGTTAAAGATACATATTGGAAGAGAAAAGACTAAAAGAGAAAAGAAAAAAAGAACTAAAAGCTAATAAGGCAATAAAGGAATTAAAATTAGAATACTATGATGAATTCGATCCAAAAGAAGGCTAGAAAAAGGGGGAAATGGAGTAAAGAACAAATAGAGCAAATAAAAAATAAGTTACCAATATTATAGATTTAAAACCAACAATAGTGATAATTATATTAAATGTAAATGGTCTAAACACTGCAATTAAAAGGCAAAGATTGTCATATTGGTTTTTGTTTTGTTTTGTTTTTTAAGGCAAGACTCAACTATATGCTATCTACAAGAAGTCCACTTTAAAAATGAAGACATAGATAGGTAAGAGTAAAAAGACAGGGAAAAAAACTACTAATTTGGAAAATGGTTAAGTAGCTTATTAATATCAGATAAACTGAACTTCAGAAAAAGGCTGCAGAGGAATGTTTCATAATGATAAATGAGTTTTTTCATGAAAAAGGCCTAACAATCCTAAATAGGCATGCATCTAATAGAGTTTCAAGTATATGAAGCAAAACTGATAAAAATAAAGGGAAAAATAGATAGCTTCACAATTATAATTGGAAATTTTAGCAGTCTTCTCTCAGTAGGTGATAGAATAAGTACACAAAAAATCAACAAGATGTAGAAGACACAAACTGATTTAACGCAATGGCATTTATAGAACAATTCACCAAACACCAGCAGAACACACATTCTTTTCAAGGACACACAGAATATTCATCAAGAAAGACCATATTTTGGGCCCCAAGAATAATTTTTTTTTTCCTTTTTGTCTTTTTTCGTGTCCGGCAATGAATCGCAACCCTCAGTGTCGCGCCCGTACGGGACCGGGACCGGCAACGGGATCGCAACCCTCGGTGCTGCGCCCGCACCTCGCTCAGCCAGTGAGCGGGAACCGGTCTCCACATGGGATCCCAACCCTCGGCGGGAGCGCCGCTGTGCTCCCCAGCGGCGCACTGTAGCAGTACGCCCCCAGGCCGGCCCTAAAAAAAATTTTTTTTAGGGCCGGCCGGGGGGGGTACTTTTAAAGGGCCCCCCTTGGGGGCCCAGCGGGCCCCCCCCCGGGGGGGGGCCCGCTGGGCCCCCAAGGGGGGCCCTTTAAAAGTACCCCCCCCGGCCGGCCCTAAAAAAAATTTTTTTTAGGGCCGGCCGGGGGGGGTACTTTTAAAGGGCCCCCCTTGGGGGCCCAGCGGGCCCCCCCCCGGGGGGGGGCCCGCTGGGCCCCCAAGGGGGGCCCTTTAAAAGTACCCCCCCCGGCCGGCCCTAAAAAAAATTTTTTTTTTTTTTTACTGACCGGAAACGGGATCGCAACCCTCGGTGTTGCGCCCACACCACGCTCAGCCAGTGAGCGGGAACCGGTCTCCACATGGGATCCCAACCCTTGGCGGGAGCACTGCCGCACTCCCAAGCGGCACACTCTCCAGTGCGCCACTGGGCCAGCCCTCCAAAAATAATTTTTAAAAAACATTATGTGGAGCAAAAGAAACCCAACACTAAAAAGTGCATTCTATATTTTTCATATATATAAAGTTCTAAACAAGTAAAACTAATCTGTAGTGAAAAGAAAAGCATAAAATGGTTGCTTCTAATGGTTGGATTGACTAAAAGAAGCATAATAGTGCTTTCGAGGGTGCTAATAATGTTCTATATCTTTTTTTTTTAATTCAGCAAGTATTTATTGAGTGCCTATTATGCTAGATATTGTTCCAGGTACTCAGGACATATCAGAGAACAAAGCAAAGGGCCCTACCCTCATGGAGTTTGCAGTGTATCATTTATTACACCTCACCTGCATACTATCTGTGACCCTGGGCAAGTCACCACACCTCTCTGTGCCTCTGTCCTCAACTGCCCAATAGGGGGACAAGGAGGCTAAGCTCAGACCTGGATGACATGCCTGGTGTATTATAGATGCCGAACAGGACACCCACCCCCAACCCACCACCCAGACAGTAGATAGGGCTGGACACTGACTTTTAATAATAAAGTACAATGGGGAGAAGGCAGAGGGAGTTGAGCCGAGTTGTCTGGTGTGCTGTGGCAGAGGTGGGGAGGGCCCAGGCTGCACCAGGACCTGGACTGACTATACAGATTACTACTGCTGCTGCTTCTCGGTGGCTGCCTCGTTGGCTAGGTCCTTCCCTTGTCGCCTCTGTAGCCGCCAGTGCCCTCTCCTTTGCCTTCTCCTGGGCTTCCTTGGGGGTCTTAACGAGTGTTTTAGAAGGAGCCTCACCTTGCAGCTTGGCTAAGATGTATTCAAAACCCTTCATAGTCTTGGTCATGTTGCTTTTGAACCAGCCAAGACCAAATTCCTGGCCAGCTGTGAGGACACCAGATAAGCTAGAGGAGACCCAGGCTTCCCTGCAGATTTCAGTCCAGCCACTGTTGTCAGAGTTCACACAGTAAACACATCGTTCCTCCACCACCATCAGTGGGGCGTGGTTGATGTTCCAGGTGAAGGTGGTCACGGTCTGATTCTGTGGGTCCACAACAGAGTCCTCCAGGATGTACACTGAGTTAGCAACATTGGCATGAAACAGTCGCTCAGCCCAGTCGGGAGTCCCATTGGTCTTGGTCAGGAGTCGCCGGGACAGGAGCTTCTGGTCAGGGGTCACCTCCCAGTGTACTGTCTTCTGTCAAGACATGTTTGCTGTAGGGATACGGGTACCACTGCCACAAGGCAGCAAACATTTGGTTCCAGGAAATCTGGAGCACGCTGAGGCCCAGAAAATACTTCACCATCTTCCCAGCCGGGGCCTGCTCAGCACCCGCACGGCACCTGGGGTGCGTGGGCCGGGAGGCACACGGACCACCAGGCTCGCAGCTCAGTCACCACCACGCAGCGCTCAAGCCGCTGCCGCCACCATGAGGCCTTGTCAAGCCACGCCAATGTGGTGTATCTTGATAGGGCTTCGGGCTGCACTGGTGTATGCATTTTTCAGAACTCGTTAAATGATACACTTAAGATTTTTGCATTTCATTGTATGTAAATTTTACTTGGAAAGAAAAAAATGGCATATAAATATTGAATTCTAATAAGCAAGTCTGAAACTACTTCTGTGTTTTCTAGGCTTGAGCCTAGAAATGGGAGTCAGGTTTCTCATGTTAGGAAAAGGAGTTAAAAATAAGGGAGTTGCCTGAAAATACAGGAGTAAAATGCCACTTCAACTAAATGGAACCAAAGATCTTTGGGAAAAATGTTGACCTCAGGGCTGAGCACAGAAAGTACAATGTGAGTCTGGATCATCTTGTGTCAGAAAGCAAGGAAGTGCCAAAGAATGACAGGGATGTACTAAAGGGACATGGGAGGCAGCTTGAAGAACTCTCACTGATCAGATCTTGGACAATGTGAACATCTAACTAAATAATGATTTTAGTGTTTTATAACCCATTGAATGGAACAGACTCCATATCCACCACAGCCAACTCCTTGTTTTGGTAGAACCCACTTCTCCAGGAGTCGGGTGGGCTCTCTTCCTGAGGGGAAGTTTAGAGGAGGGAAGGTAGTGAGACAAACTATAGTTGATGCATTTATCTGAAGGCTACAATTGATACTGTTACGGACTGAATGTTTATGTGCCCCCAAATTCATTTACTGAAGCTCTAATTCCCAATGTGATGGTATTTGGAGGTGGTGCCTTTGAGAGGTGATTAGGGTTAGATGAGGCCATGAGGATGGAGCCCTCATGATGAAATTCATGCCCTTGTAGGAAGAGGAAGAGATACAAGATAGCACTCTTTACCATGTGAGGATACATCCAGAAGGCAACCATCCACAAGCCAGGAAGAAGGCCCTCACCAGAGCCTGACCATGCTGGCTCCCTGGTCTTGGACTACCTAGCGTTTGGGACTGTGAGAAATAATTGTCTGTTGTTTAGGCCACCCAGTCTATGGTCTCTTGTTATGCCATCCACAAGCCAGGAAGAAGGCCCTCACCAGAGCCTGACCATGCTGGCTCCCTGGTCTTGGACTACCTAGCCTTTGGGACTGTGAGAAATAATTGTCTGTTGTTTAGGCCACCCAGTCTATGGTCTCTTGTTATAGCATCCTGAGACGACTAAGAAACCCTTCTTCACTATCCATTCTAGGTGTCCTTCATCATCAGTTGCCAACTCTGCTGGCCTCAGTGTCTTACCTAGTGGCAAGACCCTGACTCTCATTCCCAAGGGACCTGAGCCCTGGTCATCATGCCCTTCTCAGGCCACTCTTACTATTCCTGTTTCTTTTACAGTCACAAGTGGGCAAAGGAGTACTATGAGGCTCCTAACCGAATCACCTGGGTTCCACACTAGTCCCCCCTGCTCCCATTTTGTAAAAGCAGTCCTACCTTCTCCTGGTGATCAAAAACCCCTGCCAACACAGTGACCCTCCTCTTGCCTGGTCCCTGGACACAGGAGCCAAAAGTTCTCAGTCATGAGCCATAGCTCATAATCCCATGAGATTCTTGTTGAATCCCCTGGTGAAGGTGTGCCATTTTTGGAGACCTGGAATCAAACCCCTCAGAGCCCAGAGTTATAAAGACAAGAAATACAAAGTTTCACAATGGGTCGTTGAGACTGACAGTAAAAGATGCCACTCTGCTTCTACCCCTTGGTACCCAAACCTATGCATTTTTCCTGTGGGGGATACAAGGAATGGTGGCTTTTTTCTGGAGTGAATGCCCTCAGCCTCCTTGTCACCTTGGTTTCTTCTGCTGGTACATTCTGAGTAGTATTCTTGTCAGCTGCCCATCTATGTTGTCCCTATGGAGGCCAGGTTCTGTTAGCCATTTCCACAATTCTCTGCAGTCCTGCTGGCTGCCACTCTGACTTTGCCAGTTATTACAAAAATCACCAGCTTTTGGTGGCTAAACATTGCCACTTGGCCTCTGTGTGATATCCCTATGATACGAGGGGGTCAAATTCTGTAACAGCCTCAGCTACCATCAGCCCTGGCTTTCACAGAGGACACCTGCTGAGCCTCTTAGTGATGCGCCCTCATCACAGCTCATTCCTCTGGGCCTTCCTGTGAACATACTTATCTGGCGAGTCTTCCAGCCATGCACAGTGTAACCGTTCCAGCATGCCCACTTCTGCTTTTAATCCCTTCCTCCTCTGCTTGCCATAGAAATTCAGGCATCTCAGCTTCACTGTGTGAGCCATCGCTTTTCCACCCTTAAAGGAGCCATCCTAGGAGTGAACTCCCATCACCCCCGCGGGCCTGGGTTCTTGCTAGGTGTTAAATCCCATATCTGGGGAAAGTGCTCCCAAATGTATAAACCCTTCCCTGCCCTATAAGATTGCCTTATTGCCCTATTAATCTGGCCCCATAGATTAAGTCACACACACACTCCCCCAGCTCCTTCTGTACACATTGACCAGATCTTGCAGCTTCTTGGGTATGTAGCAACTATCCTTCCTTATAAGTTCCACAATGTCCTTAGCTGGGTTATACTGTGACTTGGGCCTTGTTATAGACCTGGTGGCCAGAAGGTGAGGAAAGGGGCATATGTTACCTTGCGAGGGGCAGGTCCCAGCTCTAAATATGGAGAGCTGAGTCACGGCCACTTCTGCAGGCTCAGAAGGCTCAGAGGAGACTGGGGTAGAGTGGGGGTTTCAATTCAGGGTCATCTACCCATAGGATCCTCTCCTTATGTCCCGTTTCTCTACAAATGTTTCCCCACAGCACTCTGATCTTGGCATAAAAATCATGATTTGATTGGCTTTTAACCTCTTAAGTCCTGGATTTTGTCCTGGGGTTTTTCTGCCGTCCCAGTAGAGATGAAAGCTTCTTTTCATTCATATATATACAATGAAAATCTTCTTTTCATTTATATATATTATGTATTTATAATATATATTTATATATATATGCAACCTGTGGTCCTCTAGCTTCCACACCTGGTTTTCAACTGACTGTTACTTACCCTTATCTGTTTATTCTATTTCTGTGCAGAGCCTTAGTGGCAGTCAGCAATAACCATCCAATACATTATCCTTATAGCTACTCTTTTCTTCATGTCTTAAATGCCTGATACATTTGGCCCTGTGTCGGGTCAAAATGATCAAGCTATTATATTCTTGCCTCACAAAGTCACCAGATGTGGACTTCCCCAAGATGAGCAAGACATCAAACAAGGTGGCTCTCTGAAGCACACAGAAATGATGTATGTCTGTGGCTGACGTGGAGATTCCTTTAGTAAAGGAGCTATCGGCTGAAGGCTACCTGCTGACCATTCTCCCTGCAGCTGGGTGACAAGTCCTCCCTTGCAGGAGAATCTCCATGTCAGCCGTAGACATACATCATTTCTGTGTATTCTTGCCAAAAATGCAAAACCTGAAAATAATCACATGGAAACAACAGGCTAACTCAAATTGAAGGGCATTTTTCATAACAGCTGGCTCATACTCTTCAATAATGTCAATGTCAAGAAAGATAAAGAAAGGCTGAGGCTATTTTCCAGATTAAAGGAGACTAAAGAGACATTACAATTAAATGCAATGTCTGATCCTGAATTAGATCCTGGGCTGGGGGAAGAAATAGCCATAGAGAACATTATTTGGAAAACTGATGACATCTGAATGTGGACAATGGATTAAACAGTAGTAGTGTATCAATATTAAATGTTCTTGGGCCAGTCCCGGGGCTCATTCAGGAGAGTGCAGTGCTGGTAGCACCGAGGCTGTGGGTTCGGATCCTATATAGGGATGGCCGGTGCGCTCACTAGCTGAGCGTGGTGCAGTCCACACCATGCCGAGGGTTGCGATCCCCTTACCGGCCAGAAAAAAAAATTTTTTTTCTGGTTTTGATCATTTAAATCTTATTTAATTTTAATTAATTTAAAATTTTAAAGTTGAAGAAATGTGAAACTTCTAAAATATTCTGCGATCCCCTTACCGGCCAGAAAAAAAATTTTTTTTTCTGGTTTTGATCATTTAAATTTTATTTAATTTTAATTAATTTAAAATTTTAAAGTTGAAGAAATGTGAAACTTCTAAAATATTGTGTGTTGAAATGATAATATGTCGATATGTGGTTAAATACATTATGATCAATTTTCCCTGTTACTGCTACTAGAAAATTTAAAGTTACATATGTGGTTTGCATTGTATTTCTATTGGACAGCACTGTTTTATACCATCGCTTTTTTGTAATACAGAAATCAAGATTATTCTAGCACTCTCACTATTCCTTTCTTCTTTTTTTTAATTCATTTTATTTATTGAATCAAAATCAATTATACATACTTTTGGAGTTGAACATTGAAATATGTTGATCAAATCAATATTATTAGCATATATGTTGTTACAAGTCGTAATTATTCGTTATGCCCCTGTCCAACCTCTCCCCTTCCCCCATTCCCTCCCCCTCCCCCCTCTAATTGCCCTAGATTTCTTCTCTCCTTCTGAAAGAATAACGGTTACTCTGTTAATTTGTTGCCTAGATGATCTGTCCAATGCTAAGAGGTGTGTTCAGGTCCCTCAATATTATCATAGAGCAGATACTTCCGTCGCTCTGAAATGGGCTTTGTGGAGAGAGACATCCTCTTCTTTATCTCTGCTGGTGACTCTCCTTGTGTGAATGCACGCCAGTGGTTGGCGGACCATGTGCGTGGTGGCTGTGGCGTCTAGCCACTTTTGTGGCAACCATGGTTAATGTGGTGGCTGTGATGGGCCACCCACAGGAAGGTGCTGCTTTTGATATGCTCCTTGCACTGGTGGTATGCCTGATTGTGGGGTGTGTCTGGTCCCCTTCGCCATGCCTCTGGTCCCTGGGCGGGTCCCTGGGCAGGCCCCAAGGCACTGGCATGGTGTG